GGGTGCTTTCTCACAACCACTTTACCACTATGCGTCCTTTGATCTTAGGCAGCGTTGTTGGTGGAGGTTTTTTTTTTCCCTTTAGCGAATGCCAGCTATTGCTTTGCAGCTATAGAATGCTGTGTAATTGTATGTGCTGCTTGGCTTGGCTGTATTCCTAATTAATCTGTGATTTCCCTTATGTTTTAGAATTGCAAATTGGATATGTTGAGCCTTTGAGCTGTTCTTTACACTGACTGCATAGCTGGACTGAGAAACCCTCCTCATGGCTCTGAGCTTATTCAGCCTGTAGATCCAGTGGATTCAGGTTCTGGAAGGCTGCCTCTGACTCTAGCTGTAGGCATCAAATGGGTGTATGTGTGTCCAACGTACCATATAGTAGGCGTAAGAAGGAATAAGGGTACGCGTTTGACATTTCAATACCGCGTTCCTGTGTTTTTTGGGGTTTTTTTGTATTTGGAGCAGTTATGCATTTTACATACATGTGTTTTAACATTTTCACAGTCCTGGCTCTGGTGCCTCATTGTGTGTGTGTGTGTGTGTGTGTGTGTGTGTGTGTGTGTGCCGTTTCGGGTTTCTATGCTAATTTCTTCTGACAGTATGAAAGGTTTCTCGAAACTCGTGTGTGGGCTTCACGATTCTCGAGGTAAAAATGTCTTTTCATTACGCATTCAAAGATGAGATCACAGAGAGCGTTCAGGGAGCGTTGCAGAAACATTCAGCCACGCGACCAAGACCAACGTGCGCTCGCGTCAAAATAGTGTCAAGCCCCGCACATGCAGCTCGTCCGGCAGCGAGTGCGGCATCAGCGATAGTGTTTTATAATAATTTGGTTAGCCTCCGTGACTCATCACACCCAAATGCAAAAATGATCTGATGCCGTGATAATGATTCACACGTCGCAGGCTGTGGCAACATATAAAGAAAGGAGAAGTGTCGTGGGTTTTATTCCATCTCTTTCTGCAGGAACACAGAGCGGCTTAGGGGAGTTTAATTAAGAAATTCTACCAAATGAAATAAAAAAATATCCTTCTTCATCGCACGGGGAGAAAGTGGTCTCCTCTGTAATTGGCAGAAGAATACTGATGAATGCTAATGAGTGAAACCTTGAATTTTATAAAACCGTGCATAACAGCACTGCGTGAACATGAGCACTCAGCGCCGTGTTGGCTCAGGAGCTTTATGTTAACGTTCTATTGATGGAGTCTATTTAACTCGACTGTGTGGGACAGAGGTTTCCGTGATATTTGCAGAGTGACTATAAAGTAATCCTTCCGCCATCAAAGCAGCGAAATGTAGGACAAAAACTGAGAAATAAGGTGAAAGGATATCATTCTGTGAGTGGAGGGTTGTTGTACAAAGAGCCGCTGAGGACGTGCTGCGGGATTGAAATGCTGCTTTAATCCAAGTTTTATGGAGAATAAATATGAGCCGCTCTTGTCGGGATGTTGGTGGCGGTTCTTTGTTTACTTTATGAGTGTTTTGGGCAATTGTTCTACATATTTCTTTGGAAACTAGTAAATACTTGCCTCTTACAGTGACACGTACTTTATTAGGAGCACCTGTGGAATTTAATATAAAATGTAGCACAGCAGCTCTCCCATAACTTTTGACTTTGACAAAGCTTTTTCATTTTTAGTTTTTGTTGAGCTTGTCCAAGAAGTGATGCTTTATGTTTCTCACTGAGGTCACAGTGGGTGGTGTTGGTGTGCTTGAACTCCAATACTTTCTCATAGTATTACCACTTAAGCAACATCCCTAATCCCTATTAAGGCGTTCTATTAATTTGTACTGGTGACATGTGCTGGCCAAGACTTCCTTTAGGGAAAATTAAGCTTTTTACCTTGTGAACATAGCTATATGGTGTTTTCTGGAAGGTTTAGGCTTCCATTTTTTATTTTGGCAAATAGGACTTTGACATTAGTTTCAAGAATCATTTGTACAAAAATTTGTTGGCAGAAAATCAGACAAGACAGACTCAAGATTGGCTTAAATACACAAAACCAGCCTCTACAACTTGAATTCAGTAATCCCCATTGTTATTCAAAAGAGCTCTGTCATGGAAGCAAAACAACTAAAACCTAAAACGAACCCTCAGTATGTTTTCTCTGTAATTGTGGGTAATGATCTAGACCGGTAATACATCTGGAATAAGTCCTGGCTTTGCCTTCCAGACCCCTGGACCCAGCAGAGTACATGCAGATGCTGTTTATTATGCAAACATGAAGATTTTTTTTAACATACTTTCTATATGAACTAAAGTAAAGTATAATAATACTTTAAATGATAAAATTAACTAAACTGGTTATATGATTTGCATGTTAAACTCCTGGAATGCTACAATAAAATGAAGTTTTAAGATAAAAATAACTCAAAGTATAGATCTGGGGTGTAAAGTATCAGTTAGGCCGACACCTAACTCAACAAAATGAATCTGGAAGAATCACTTTCAATGAATTTCTTCAAGAAACCCTCATTTGAGTTATTGAGAGGTTGTTAGAGGAACATCTTCTCTGGATTGCGCCGTTAAAGGTTCCTCCAGGAACCCTCAAGCAAGCAAAGCTCCTTGAATATCCCCAGAGTTCCTTGAGGCTATTCTAATTCTAAGAAAGTGGTAACCAAAGCGTGATATTTCCCAAAGTCTTACCAAAGACTGCAAATGAAACTTTAACTCAGAATGACGTTCCCACATGGGATGCAAACCTTTGCCTTCTATGTGAATGTCCTGTTGCTGATTTGCGCCTCCATCGTCGGCTCACATTTACATATGCGAACTATGCGAACCGGAAGTTTTTCAAACTGTGTCAAGAAAATACATTTCTTTCAAAACACAAGTGCAGCTCAGAAGCTTTTTTTTTTTTGCTAGTATTACTTTTTATTTTTCTATCCCAGCCACATTACTACTAGCAATATCTGGCACAAGAAGTTCCTTTGGGATTAACACATTTTAATTTATTTTAAGTCTGAAGAGACAGAGTTGACTTTGAATACTTAAAGTTGGCACTTATGAATGTTTGTGGCAGACAGGAGTTTACTAAAAAAAATAAGAAAAAAAGGAAAATTAAAGGAGTCAAATTTGACTTTATAAAACAAACAAACCCTACTATAGCACTTCTGGCCAGAATATTCAAATACCTATAAATTAAGTCACCAAAAAATGTCCATGGACCAAAAACTTGAAAATGTTCCTCAGTTCATAAGCCTAACTCCTCGTCCTTATTTGCATACAGTTTCCAAAGAAATCTCAAATGTCCAACACAGTGACGAGAAGCACACGGTTTGGACTCCTGCTCGGAGGCTTGGATGTGTTGCCGTTGCGCGCTGCAGGAACACAGCAGCCTCTCTGTGGCTCGGCAGCAGCAGCAGCAGCAGCAGCGGCGGCGGCAGAACAACGGAGGGGGGCGAAGAACGGCGACGAGTTAGCACAGAGAGAGAGACAGGAGCTCTCATCAGTGACGGACTCACCGGCTGCGTGGACAGAACTGTGGCGCAGGGAGACGAGAGGGGCTGCAAACAGGGAGCCAAAGCAACAAAAGAAACAACAGAGGAGCAGAGAAAAAAAGAGAAAAAAAACGCCACGAGAGAGAGAGGGAGGAGAGAGAGGGAGAGGGAGAGAGGGAGGGTGAGGGGGGAGAAACACAGCGATCACAGAGGGGAGAGAAGTCATTCAGAGAGAAACTGGATGGAGCTGACAAGGACACAGAGGGAGGAGAGCGCACGGAGAAGCCTTTCCTGACGGGAGGAGAGGAAAGTGGAAAAGAAAAAGAAGAGGAGGAGGAGGAGACCGACAGGAGGTCGAGCTTACGGGGGCTTGACTGACACAAGAGAGAAGAGGAGGAGGAGCGTGAGGGCAAGTTGATGGATTTGATTTGGGGAGAGTATTTTTAGCAGGAGAGGAGACATGAGAGGAATACTGAAATTAGAGATGCTGTCTCAGAGAGAGAGAGAGGAAAAAAAACTAGGGAGAAAGACAACAAGGATGTGAAAGAGAGGAGAGATGTTGAGATCAGAGTGTGACAGAACAGATTATCTCTGGTCTGGTTTTTTTTTTTTTTTTCCCCTGCAGGAAACCGCTGAGAGTCCGCGTACGTGCATGAGTGCCTCCTTCTCCATGTGAAAGCGTGTTGTAGTATGTTTTCTAACTGTGGCCGCGCCGAGGAAGCGAGGTCCGCTGCGAGATGAAGCTGCCCCGTGGATACCAGCAGCACCTCATAACGCCGAGCGCGCCCAGAGACAGGCAGCAGATCAGTGACAGCGCGACAGAGGCGTCCAAAAAGTGAGGAGTGAAAACAGACGAGGTGATGGGAGACTTTTTGTGATTTCACTCAAAGCTGGCGGTAACTTGATTGCCACCTCTTGCCGACGAACGTCTCTGCAAGCTGGTGAAACTCCAGAGAAGAGAAAGCACAACACTGGAACAAGGCGAGTTCTCGTCCGACAGACTGCACCACACCGACCGGTTCCCTCCTCTGCCGTCTCATTATTTTAATTACCTTCCCTTTTTTTCTTCTTTTTTTTTTCCTTTTTTTGTCCTCTCTGCTGAGCCCTTGGTATTTTGTATGCTATCCTCCCCCTCTCTCCTCCCCTCCCTCTTCCTCTCTTGCCTTCGCTCTCTCTGTCTCATCCTCTCTTGTTCACTGTCACACTAACTGCCGTGGATGCTGGAGTCACTCATGTAGAAGACACCTTGCTTGGAGCACATTTGCCTAGCTGATTTTTTTTTTCTCCCCCCCTCTTCCCTTCCCCTGCTGAGATAAATGATTGGAGCGCTCTCAGATTGAGAGGACCAGAGGGAGATGACCAACAAGTAGCCGCCGCTGCTGAGTTCACCAGAGCTCCTTCAGGAGAAGACGACTTCCAAACACACAGCTTTCCGTGAGGCTGCTTTTCTTCCTTTTCTTTTGAGTTGTTGCAGCTAAGACTGCACGGGTCAGTAGAGTTCGTGAGGCCAAACACGTATCCATGTGTGGATTACAGTAGTGGATTTATCCTGGAGCTACATGTGGGCCCCAGCCCCTGAGGCCTGGCTGGGAAATGATGCCTTTCCCGCGGCTGTAGGAGTGCTGTGGGCAGCTATGGCCCTGGAGGGGCGCTATCTCCGGAGGGGATCCCCGGCCATGATCAGAAAGGGCCATCAGCGGCGTCGCACAAAGCCAACTCTGGCTCAGGTCACTTCCACTCTGCTGTCAAGGACACGCCTACACGGCCTGCGGCATGTTTGCGTCCCCGGCGGCTCGGTCGGCCGCAGGGCCTTCTGGCTGCTGGCCCTCTGCACCTCCCTGGGGTTGCTTTTATCCTGGTCCTCCAACCGCCTCCTGCACTGGCTTTCCTTCCCGACATACACACGGGTCCACACTGAGTGGGCCAAAGAACTGGCCTTCCCTGCAGTCACTATCTGCAACAACAACCCTATCCGCCTCTACAAACTCACCAAGAGCGACCTGTACTTCGCCGGCCACTGGCTCGGCCTGCTGCTGGCTAACCGGACAGTGAGGCCCATGATTCTGGACTTGCTTCAGGAGGACCGTCGGGCCTGGTTCAGGAAGCTGTCCGACTTCAGGCTCTTCCTGCCACCCAGAAACTTTGAGGGAACCAACCTGGAGTTTATGGACAGACTGAGCCACCAGCTGGATGACATGCTCCTCTCGTGCAAATACAGAGGGGAGCCCTGTGGCGCTCACAACTTCTCCTCAGTAAGTCCTCTGCTGCGTTTTATGCCACTTATGTCAGCATAAAGCGGTCCAGTACGTCCTCCTCTATCTCCATCCTCTTACATTGTCTTTACTGTCAGTTATCTCAGCCATCAACTGCAGTGTATTAAAGTTACAACAACATTTGCATCAAGCTGAAGCAGCATATTACTTCATTACATTATCTCTCAGGAGGACATTTTCTGTGCTATAGTTGGCCTTAAGTTACTAGGCTGTAAAAGTAATTGTAAAAACAGTATACAAGCTGTTGTAGCTTCCTCTTATAGCTGACTGTTAAATGTAAGCAAATCTGCACCGTGCAATTATTAAATCACCACCAGAGCTCTTGAGTGAAGGCATAAAACATTTGCAGCTTGAAAAACTAGTGGCCATGATCATATATGGGCTTGTGGCTGCAACCTCCATATAAAAACAATTCTCCTACAGCACTGTGCACAGGAGATCACTGCCTCTGTGTCTGATCTCCTCCACATGTCTCTTTTCTTTTGCTGTGTGGATGGTTTGGGAGTTTGGGGATTTGTGTGCTCTCTCTTCCTCATGTGCTCCCTTTAGCATGTTTGAACCGTGGCAGATGTCTTCTGTAATGTGGACGCTCAAACTGTCTTTGAAACTCAGAGGCTGACTGAAGAAGACACGCTGTTTAGATACCTGTGTGCAAAGGCTGCAGGTGGTGCTTGCTGTTTGTTGTGTGCATGTTGCTGCTGTGGAGTTTGTTGACTTCCCTTTGCACACTTTAAAGTTGCAGCTGGGAAAAATGTTCACTAAACTAAACAAAGAAATGGTGCTTGTAATGCTATTTACAGCCAGTTTTCACCAGGAGCCTTGTTGCATTGTTGGCTTAATTCTTGTCAGTTTTTTCCTGCAGTGAATTCAAATTGCTAACCCACATTAGAGTTTAAGATAAAACAATGTATACATAGATTGAATGTGACGCAGAATTCAGCCAGCAATCTATGCAGCACTTAAAGGAGAACTCCACAAATTGCATTCATCCAAAAGTCTGCACTGGTTTTTGGAGAGTACTGCAGAATATGTGGCAAAAGGCGCTTTTTTGCCCTTTGTTGGCATAAATTCCTCTGTTTTTTAGAAGAAGCTGTGTCAAATCTGATAAACTACCTGAAGTGATTTGCCTTCGCTTTGGGACTGGAAGTCTGGAAATTAAAACAAAAGGAGGGGTGTGATGTTGGAAAGAAGTGAGCTTATCAACCCTCTGCAGCCCACTGCTTTTGCTTTAGTTACTACCAGCATAGCACACCCAAATCTCTGGCTCAAATTGTTGATGGTGCAGTGGCATTGTGGGTAATGTAGGCACCAGATTTTGCCAGGAAAGAAGAAAATAAAATGTTCAAATTTGCACAATATGTAATGTTTGTATTGGCCCAAAAACTGTTACGTCAAACGCAATATGGCAGAAACACAAGAATGTCCTTTTGCATCTGGTCTCATTTCTGCAATATGCAAGCCAACATGCTTTTTCTGGCCCACAATCCTTTGCACGGCATAAGATGTGTCAGACACGCCACGGTGTGCATCTGGAATAACAAGCTTGATCCGACCGACAGCACACAAACAGGTGATTTTACACTGCAGACAGAAACAGATATATGAGCAAGAGCAGTATATCAGTTCTACATGCAACATTTTATACTCTTGTCAAGGGCACCTGTAATACGTATGTGATTTCCGATGCAGTGAATGTCTTTGGTTCAGCTTCAGTTTTGAGCTTATGTTTAAAACGACCCATGTTATTGGAGTGCAATGTTTGTGCAAAGTGATAGGGTAGCGACCTGTCAAAATGTAGCTCCGCCCTCCAACACAACCTGTTTTACCATCTATTTTGCCCTAAATGGGACCGTAATATACAAAATGACCATCATGCTGTATTCAAAAAATATTGGCACGAGCAATTAGGACCACACACTCATCAGGAAAATGTTTGCTGGGGCAACAGATGACGAGAGAAGTAGAGTAATTTTCTCATAGACGTCTATACAGTCTGACTTATTTTTGCAAACAGAGGAGTCGCCCCCTGCTGACTGTTTGAAAGAATGCAGGTTTAAAACACTTTGACATTAGCTTCACTCTTCAGACTTAGAAGCTACGTCCATTTTTTCGTATACAGTCGATGTATATAGGGTCAACTGTGAAGCCCAAAGTTTTCGTGACGTGAGAGAGAAATGTGAAAATGTTAACTTCCAATGTAATCACACTGAGGGTATGTTTATGTGACACAGGCAGAGTGGTCCGAAGGTGTTTTGGTTGTTCTAACTCACAGCAAGTTGTCTGAAAAATGGCATTTTAAGGACATATGAGGAAAAAGTTTCTGTGGTCTGATGTGGCTGAACAAAGTACTAACATAGTTTTTTTGTTTGTTTGTTTTTCTAGTGTGTTCTTTTCTTTTTTTTTATCTTGATAATGCATTCAGCTCCCTCATCTATTCATTATTTGGGTTTGATATGAGGTTGTACCAGTCCATAATGGCTGCCCAGGCAGCTCCAAATATAACTAGAAATGAGCATGTGAAGCATGTCTCCAAAGTCCCCTAGCTGTGGCAGGTTTTCTGTATCCTCTCAATCTTCTTACCTGTTTGCAGCCCTGATTTTACCTTATTAGTGTTCTGTATTACCGCAGGATCTGGCAGCAATGCCTTCTGGCTCTGCTTCAGCTCACTCAGGTGTTGATCATCTTCTTCAGCAGGCAGATTTGTTTTGCTGTCGTGTTTTACAGCATATTGAATACACATTTTCATCTTGTTTAGATGCTTTGTGGCTTTATTTTTTTTATTGTCCTCTATCTTGCAACTGTTTTGTTGTATTTATGTTACAGCCAGTAATGCATGAAATTAGCAATCGCAATAACAAGTCACTTTTTGCTAAATTTAGGCATTAACAAGTGTTCACAAGTGTATTTTATGCTTCAGAGATGCAAGCCAAGTTGGCAAAAATCGACCCAGTGCGTAGAGATAGCACAGCAGAGAAAATTACAAGGCGTGGGACCAAAGTCTCCCATAGGTGGACACACACATGCTGGGTGAAATGATAGTGGATTGTGTCGGCCAGCCGCCTGCTGTGGACATTGTGGGTTAGTGCCTGATCTTCTCAGTCTACACTGCATTCAGTAACATCAGACTCATGGGGCCCTCGTGTTGGGGGGTGTAGACCATGATTTAGGGCTGTGGACGATGATATTCCCATCGCTATTTAATCTTTTAATTACTTTTTGAATGTTTCAGTTAGTTGTTTGGAATGAAATGTCAGAAAATGGTGAAAAATGTTGATTAATGTTTTCAAAAGCCCGAGATAACATCTTTAAAAATCTTGCTTTGTCTAAAACCCAAAGAGGAGGAAAAACACCAGAAAAGATTCACATTTAGAGACTTTTCTTTCCAAAAACCTGAATGATCACTTATCAGAATAGTTGCCAATTAATGTAACATATCCCAGCATGGGTTGGAGCGCAGGGTCAGCCATGGTGTAGTCGGGTTGCTCAAGGGCCCAATGATGGCCACTGAGCACTAACTGATTATTCGATTAATTGTTGCAGCTCACAAGAAACGTCCCGGTAACCCACGACAGTTGTTGTTGTGGGTTGGCACTACATTTTCCCAATGTCATTTATGTTCTTCCATTTCTTTTATTCTCTTCATGATGTTGAGTTGCTCTAAACAAATAATCATTTGCCATTTGGAGGAAGCGAGCAGAGATAAATTAGATTTTTTTTCTGATCTTGTTAAGTCAAATCAAAGTTTTCTAATGAGTTCAACCTCTTGAATGTCAGTCAAATTATGCAGGAGACTCTCCAGTGTCGGAAACAAATTTGTGATTGCTATTTGAAGGCAGCCTGATTACGAGGCTGACAACACTCAAACAAACATAAAATCGGCTCCTCTCACTAAAACGCAGTGTAGAAAATCACCTTTTAAAAGCTAATGGTCAGTGGTTTATTGTTGTGTGTCCACGATTTGATCAAACGGGATGATTTTCATACGTTTTTCCACCTCTGATAGGCAGCCCTGACTTTTGTCCTCCACTCCAGTCAGGACCATGCCTTTAAGCCACGACATGTTAACAATGTGTTAAATAAAAACAGAAAAAAACCCACTAATTTTTGTGTGCAGAGAGAGACATATTCCTTTTTTTGTTTAAATATAGATGTCAGCTTCAGTGCAGCTTCAGAAAGGCTGTGTTGATTCGTTGATGTGACTGCTTTGTTACCTCAATATTGGCAGGTCACTTCGTGTCAAGGCAGAGCATTCAACCGGGTGGATGTGGTGATTCATTACCAGTGTGAGCCTTGCAGTGTAGACTAAGATGAGCATATGAGCTGTTTTCGTGTGGAGTGGTGCTGCAGCAGTTCACTCAGCCTGAATGATTTACTCACATTTAATATGTCTGAACACTGTGTAAGAATGGATCAAGCTGCGGATGGAAAATTGTTCTATGAGAGCAACTACTCTGCTAACTTAACCTTCTGAACCCAAAAATCACTGGCAGGCATGTTGAAAGGCATGTTATGAGGGGGGAAAAAACACTGCCAAAGTGACACCATTTATTAGAGTCAGAAACTGTAAAAACAGAAAGAATCATTCTTGAGCTAATCATGATTGATGTGCAGTTCTGTTGAGAAAATGAACCGTGAGATTACGTCAAAATCACTTTATTCTACATGTCACTCTAAACATTTGCCAAAAACTAAGCTCTTTGCGGTAACCAAAATCTGTAATAAGCAAAAATTCTGTATTCATTGACACAGCCAATGAGCTATTAGTGACTCAGCGGCGACCAACAGTTATGTAAGAAAAATTCAGAGAGTTTTCAGCTGAACTTGGTTGAACTGCAGGACAGAAGGCATTTATTTCTGCTTTGAACTGTATTTAGACAGAGAATATAGGATCCAAAAGAAAATCACAGTTTTGTATTTTTTTGTTTGTTTTTATTCAGTATTTGCTATAATTGTGGGCGCTTGGAGAAATTTTGCACATG